ACTGTGTTTTTTATTAATTTTATGAATACTTTTGACGATGGGTGCCCTTTTTTGGCTTGAGCACCTGCCCCCAAAAATGTCTGTGCACGTGCCTGGCTGTTGGTAATAATGAAACTCCATAATTTCAACTTTTTGGAGTTTCACATCTACATTTGAGGTTTCAAGGCTGCGTCAGCAAAAGATGTGTATGAGTAAGAAAGGCGGACTGGTCTTTCCAGTACTGACAGCTTCTGTCATTGTCCGTCCACAATTCCTTTCTCCAGCTCTAAAGATGCTGCTGCTGCTCCTCCTGCTGCTGTCATTTACTGTGAGTTTCATTCACATTGAGTCTTACTCCTACAAACTAACCATAAAGGAAAATACTTTTTGGTTCTTTGTTTTGTTGCAGTCTCTTTTCTGCAGTTCGTCAACTGGAAATGCTGTAACATCTGGTATTACATGTTGTATGAATAATAATTTTATGTTAAATTCAAATGTGCAGGATGACAGTCAGACTCAGCGTGTGTGGGGTTTGAAGAAAAATGGCTCGTGCGTGTGCGCAGTAAACTCCAACATTTGGTCATTCCCTGTTATGAAGTACGAGGCTGTGATGCAGCAGGTTCTGTCCTGTGAAGGTTCTTTAAACAACTTGCAGGAGCAGGTAAGATCAATAACAGTTGTAATTCTGATAACTATCAGACCCTTCAATTTACCTGATCAGCATGTCTTGTGAAAGAGTCAAATTTCAGTTTCCCTCTGTGTTTCCTTGCAGGTGAGATTGTCTCATCAGCGTCTCCCTCAGGTCCAGGCTCTGCTTACGAATATAACAGCTCGGCTGCAGCCTTACCAGCACTTGCACTACCAGGGTCTGTACACTGACTTGTCTTTGCGAATGCTGGGAGAGGAGCTGATCCAGCTGGAGTCAGACGTCAGCGCCATCCACAGCAAGTTAAACAACGACCTAACACAGAAACTCTCTAAAGAGGTACTGCATTAATCATTATAGTACAGCAGAGAAAAATACTAGCACATTAATGCATTAAGCAGCATGAAGATATAAAATGTGTGTGTGTGTGTGTGTGTAGGTGGGTAAATTTCGCAAGGATATAGACAAGATGACAATGTCAGACACCATTAACATGAAGACTGTCAAAGAGAAACTGCGCTACCTGAAGAACAGTGCTGAGTCCTGCAAGTCAATCCCCCAAGACTTCAAAGGTAAGTGTGTGTGTGTGTGTGCGTGTGTGTGTGTGTGTGTGTGTGTGTGTGTGTGTGTGTGTACCATTTTAAGCATCAATCGTACAGAGGGAGGACATATTTTGGAAAGTGAAGACATGTTAACTGTGACTCACTTTTTCAATGGGCTGTTTGAGGATTGAGACTCTGTTCCTTATTAATCCATATTTAGGTGGGTAGAATTTTTCCTTAAATTAGGAAGTGTAAGGGTTAGGCATTTCGTTTTTACAATAAAGGTTTGGGTAAGGGAATGCATTGTTAATGAGTGTACTCAATATTATATTCTAGAAGTACAAACATACGAGTGTGTGTGTGTGTGTGT